CAAAAAAAGAAAACACACAGAGAGGGTTTTTTATTACCGGCGTTACAAACTCAAAGCAACTGGAGTACAATGGAGGAACCAAGGAAGCTAAAGGGTCACAAAGCCAGCACCACTTGCTCTATCGCATCTCAAAACCGCCCTGGTCTTATTGCCACCGCAGCTGAGGTCCACCTTTTTCCATTAATTATTTAGACATCCAGATGAAGCATATGCCTTCTGGTGTTGTTTTAGATTCTGAATTTTGACTCTTGTAATTAAAAGAGCTTAAACCCTATTGAGTATTGACCGTGCATTAAGTTCGACTGTCGTTTTAATGTATTTGATCATTTTCTTGCTGATAAATAATAGGATGGGTGTGTGTGCTGGTTCGATTTGAGGTGCAAAGATAGTATCTTTACAATGGATGTTGGAAATGGTAACCCGGTCTCATCATTATGCTTCAAGCCAGGTTTGTGATATTTTACTTTGTTTCACTCATCTCCTTATTTAATTGGTATTGTGTCATTAAATAAAATGTGTTTGACTCAAGAACTTCCAATATTCCGACTCTTACCACTCTGACGCTAACACTGAACATTCCAACTTAAAAAATATGCGGCTGCATTTAGACAAAATAATGGAGTATGCTATTTTTAGACAGTTACTGACAATTAAAAATTACTCCCTCCGTTTCAATTTAGATGCGTTAGTTTGACTCGGCACTGATTTTAAGAAAAAAGAATAAAACTTTTGGTGTTAAAAGCTTAAGGGTTAAAAGCTTTATGGGGCCATGACATTTGTGTGGTTATAAAAACTTCTCATTAATGATAAAATGGGTAAAATGAAGAGTTTAAAGTTAGAATTATTTCCAAGTTTAGAAATGGGTCATTTATTTTGGAACAGACTAAAAAAGAAAGTACATCATCTAATTTGAAACGAAATGAGTATTGATTTTGACATCTCTGTTTCTGCACTGAAATACATTAGTTGGAGGGATGATAACCTTCCGCTGACATTACTAGCATAACTTGAAATTCTTGAGAGCCTTCAATCTCAATATCAAACATGTGATCCATTGTGCAGGAAATGAAGATGTTGTTTATGTCTCGTCGGGAAATGAAGTCAAATGCTTTGATGTGAATATGGTAATGTTATCATTGTTCCACAACTACTTTCCCATGACTTATTTCTTGTACGGGCTTTTATAGATTACCAGTTCTTATGTGATTCTGGCACTCGTACATGGCTACTTTTGACCCTTACTAGTATCTGTCTGATCAAAACGCTTTTCCTTCTGAATTTTATGTTGTAACTTGGTTTGAATTGGCTTCTCTCCACTTATTCTCTTTTATCACTTTTGGATGCTAGGACACAAATATTTTGTTATTTATCCACTTTAATTTTATTTGAAGGTTACTGCATCGAAACTACTGCACAGTTACAATTACAACAAGGATGAGATAAATCAGGTCTGATTGCTGTTCATTTCTTTTTTTTAACCTTATATTTTCTCGTTTGTCTCACTGTCAATATCATTGGAAGTTACCTACCGTTTGAGAATGGATTTTTGCACTATACATTTTATATTATTCTCCTGTTTTCCAAAATATGGCCTTGTGCTCGTCTTGTAATTATCCACTAGTCATGTTATTAGGAATATGCCCGATCATGAGTTCAGTTGGTAATACAATGTCTTGCTATCTTCAGCACCTTCTTTATTAACCTCTAGCCTCTTATTCAAGCATTTGCCAGTATTTTTGGAATTTGATTCCTAACACTTCAGCTATATGTGTCAGTTATTTTCTACTCTTATCTCTTAACCTGATGTTGGTCTCTTATGAGCATTAGCTCATGGCATTTAGCTAAAAGCAATTTAGGAGTCTTTCCGCGTCAATGGCTGCCCGTTCAACATTGTACATTTTATCGATCACTCTGCTTTTCAAACCCGAATAATGGTGCTTCTGGACATAATTTCAGGAGTAGGTGCAGAAACCAGGGGAAAGTGTTACATCACTTATCTCTCTATCTTATTTTGTAAAATGATTATGGTTCAACCACCAACACGAATAGGTGGGTAGCTCTGCAATACACTGTACCGCATCTCCACATTAACAGAGATTTTATAAAATACAGGGCTTTGTTAACGTCCCTTGTTGATTTTTAGGCAATTTGCACCCAATTCTCTGTCTTTAGTTCTATGGCCTAAATGTCATGTCCAACAGATCCACCTTGCACAGGCTTAGAAGTAGAAATTTACGATTTATGCTGTATTTGTTCATTTGGATAAGTATTAGGTTTTGTGCACTCTTTTATTTGATACTTACCTATCTTCCTTTTCACATTATCTCATGTGATTTTCTCCTGTCTAATAAGGTCATATTTCAGGTGCCTCAATTAGTTTTACTATATTTTCAAACAATACCAATTATAATTCTGCGTGCTTAATGTTTCTGTTCTGTAGATTGCTTGCAACTCAAAGTCATCGTACCTCGCTGCAGCAGATGATAGTGGTGATGTCAAGGTAGGACAGCTAAATGTGTGTATTGTATTCTATAACATAATGCCATGAATCCACTTAGTTTACGGTGCATGATAGTGATTCAAGAGTGGTGGATGCAACAAACAGGTCGAGATCATATTTGTTTCTTCATGGAATAAATTTAATATTAATAGCAATGCAGCAGCTATAAAGTTGTCTAAAAGAAGTTACAGGTTGTGGAAGCCCGTGCCATAGGTGTGGCCTCCCAACAGGAAATAGCTGTTTGTTCTAAGAGGAAGCGTCATTAGGGTTTTCAGGTTTAGCAAGTCATCTATGCTAATAAGTTCTTGCCGTATTTTATCGGTAAGACATGGGAAAATATGCCCTCTTTCACAAAGTCCCCGGAATCCGTGTCTGGCTACCAAAATATAAAGTAAAAATTCAATCTTGGGAAGTGAAATCTAGCCTTTTGGCTTTATTCCTTTGTGGATCTGGGCTTCAATTCTGTACACTGATAGGTAATTAAGGTGTTGGTCGAGTATGGTTTAATATCATTGAGTTCATGGTGTAACAAGATTCTGGTGTATGCTGTTAAACCTGATAAAGAAAATTGAGAATTATGGTATCTTCTGTTAGCTGTAAAATTTTGTATTTTCGGCCTTTGGGGTCGGGATTCAATTTTTTTATCTAATAATATTCTTATGTCTTGTCCATCTAAAAAAAAAACTATTCTTATGTCTTGATCTGATATAAGTTGTGTACCACGATTTGGAGTCCTCTTTCTTATTTAATTTTTAGGAAAGGAAGTAATTCTGGTCTATTATGGTGTTACTGGAAGATATGTTTTTGCAAATTACTGAGGATTATGCACATCAATGATGTTGGGAAGACCCTCTTAATGCTTCATCCTTCGCACCTCATAGTGCTCATCTGCTCCAACATATTCCTCTCTGACAATTTACCTCGTTGCTACTACAAATCTGGACTATTGAGTGTTGATTAATTGTGCGCTATCTGTGGAAAGCATACCTCCCTTTATCATTACAATGTTCAGACGATAGAAAGGGAGAAGATTTGTCTACTCCATGTTTTTAAGTCTCCGCTGTCGTGTATCCTATTGCTTGAAGGATTTATATATGTTCGTATCGATCTCTCTCCCTCTTTTCCCCTCTCATATTTACAAAGTGAGGTCCATAAATACATAGATATACATAAATGGCCATGCACGCATATTAGTCTATTTGTCTTGCAACATTTCTGCTATATTGGTTTATTTGTTGGTCTTACTACAATGTCTGGAATGTGTTAGCTACTTGATGAGTTGTGAAACTTTTAAGAGATAAAAGTGTTTCGCTATTTCTATATGTATGTTGGACATCTGAGTGCTACTTGCAGATCATTGACATCCGCCAAAGTCGAATGTACAAAACATTGAGAGCTGGCCACACAAGTGTATCCTTTTTCATATAACTATGATAAGTTTCTCCCAGAAACATGGTGATCTTTTTATGTCTTTCTTTTGTAGTTAAATTTTTACTGTTCTATATTCTACTTATTTGTTATTTCTTTTCTTGTATTATGTTTTTGGCATGTGAAGTAGTCCTACTTGTATTTTGGCTGTGATGTTTCTTTTTCCATTTTTTCTTCCCCAACTTCAAATAGGGAACTATTTTCTTATTCTGAACCTATCATTTGTGACCTTAACTATCTTATCAGATATGTAGCAGTGCTCAATTCATTCCTTGGAGGCCTTGGGAAGGTACTTTTGGAACCAAAATTTTCAGAAGTCCTATATTACCCCC